GCAACGTCTCGATCAGTTTATCCTTTTCATACTTCTGCTTAGCCTCTCTACGCTGCTTCTGAGACATAGATTGCCAAATGAAAGAGGATATAGTGGGTGGTCGGTTAGTCCCTTTGTACTTCCTCACCAGAAAGCCTCCCGCCTCTGAGAACGAGGATCCTTCTTTCGGGATTTCAACTAACCTACCAGTTTTGCGATCAACAGTTTTGATAGTTTCCACCTTGGATGGAGCGGGTTCATCTAGAAGCGTCTCATCCTCCACGTCGGCGACAGCCTCCGGATCTTGTCCCGCTTCTAGGAGAGGGGCATCCTGAATGGTGGGACCAGATTGAGTTGAAGAAACTTTACCCTCTCGAAGGGACTTGTAACGGTCCTGCGTCGGGAAAACAAAGTTTCCATCGGGCCTCGTGATTTTGAAAACACGATGTAACTTCACGACGTCATCAAAGTCCGTTTCATTCAGCTCTTTCAACGATGCAACAAGGTAGTCACCTCTCCATAGAAAGCCGGGGTGGATAACATATCCAACAAACACTCCCGGATTGGACGTGGGATCAAACTTCAAGTCCTTCTTTGGTTTCTGTCTTGGGCCAATCCAGTAGTCTATGCGACATCCGAACGGCAAGAACTGACCTTTGAACTCTTCTTCGAACCTAAGATTCCAAGGTGTTCTGGAATCAGAAGGTGGTTCACAAACATTCTGAGATAAACACCAATGCCTTGCGGCGTGGGGCCAGTATGAATGATTCAATCCGGCCTGCGCAAGTGCGACTCGAGTTCCCTCGAGCACGGTTCTGATGCTTCGTTCAGCCACCGCGTTCGATTTGTGAATGTACTCTTGACTGAGGACATGTCTCCAGCCCATCTCTTCAGCTGCAGCAATTAGCTCGGGGGCATTGTCACTATAAAACGCGCCAACCTCGTCTGACGAGGAAGTGAAATGCTGAAACGCCGTGGCTTCCGTGTTTCTTTTAGCAAAAGGGTATGCATAATTGAAACCGGTGGCAACCTCACTTATGACAAGAGCAGAGTACTCATCGTCTATGCCTAGTTCCTGTTCGTCTGCAGTGATTATGAAATCGGCTGTGATGTGCTCAGCAAACTTTCGAGCATCAACTTGTCTGGATCCCCCCCGCGAGCGAGAGGGAGACTTGGTCATCTTGGCGCATTTGCACACTTCGCAGAATGGATTCTTTGGCTGGTGTGTCATCAGGTGCTTCCGTGATGCTGCTTCCTGCCTTAGGGCACTTTCTGCAAGTGATCTAGGGCTTTTCTTATCGGGATTGCCAACAACATCTTCCCCTGCCAAATCTTTACTCTCTATCGGCTCAGCATGTTCATTTGGTTTGACTTCGATGGGGTCATCCGCCAGAAGCTCGGCGACAACTCTAGCATGCACCTCAGGGTCCTCTAGAGGGGCAATGCTAGGCGTGTACTCCTCTCCCGCTGCATCTTCAGCTTGCTCGGAGGAGGAGTATGACGATTCACTCGATGCACTGCTTCTGCCGACCTGACCTTCCGGTCGGCTTGGCGGCGTGCCTTTGGCGGGACATGCCATGGCTGAGTCGCCATCCCACACGTCGTAGTACGGGACATAATCTCGAACTTTGAGATATATTCTCGTCCCATCAGGCTTGACAAAGAATGGCTTGTCCTTCGCGTACCATATGAAGTCATAACCCTGATTCATGCACTTCAAACCTACAGAGAGAACAGAGGGTGTTTGTGGCAACAAGTATGGATCCGTGTTCCCAAGGTCACCTGCGGCCATGTTGGCCTGCTTTGACGAATCACTTGGTCCATTGGCAGTCATCAACATCACGGGGTCATTTGAATTATAAATTGCATATTCGGGGCAATTCGCACGAGTAAAAAGGTCAGTTCCACTCCCAGTGTCGATAATCCATGAACAGTTCGGAGAGAATCTCTTGCTCGCCAGCGCGGGCTTTGCGCCCATGTCTCTCGGGGCGCATTGCCAGCATCCGATATCGCTGTCACATTCGTATTTGCATCTAGTCGGATGGCCTTCCAATTCACGTCTCACAATGAAGGCGAGCATGGTTGCTCCGAGTCTAGCATCATCTATGCTGATTTCATCATGGAAAAACTGATGGTCGATTGGGTAGACCTTTGAATACACGCGCGGTTTGTCCGCGATCTTAAACTGCTCACCATGTGCTGGTATCCGATTCATTTCAACCTTCGAGCTGAAACGCACGCTCGGGAGGGCAGGCACATGCTTCCAGTCCGACATGAGGTTCCTATCAGCGATAGGGGCGTTCATCATGGAAGACAACAAGCATCCCAACACACAAACAGCAGCAGGAGAAGGCTTTCCGGAAGACTTTCCCTTGTGACCCTTCTTCTTTTCTCCCTTGGAATCACGGGAAGTGGATCGAGAGGTCGACTTGGAACGATCCCTGCTCGATTTGCGATGCTTCCGATCCTTTCCCTGCTTCTTTTGCTTGTCTGCGGATGGCTCCCTTGACCCTGGAACGGCCGGCTTCGGGTCGATGTGAGCAAACGGGCAGTTTTCACCACGGTCACACCTCCCCTTGGGGTAGAAACGGCACTCTTTCTTCCCCTTTGGGCTATTCGTTCGGCCTTTACCCTTACCCTTCTTAGGCTTAGCGTCCCTTGATGGGGTCCTACCCCTGGCATCGCCCGATGGCTGTTCATGCTTGTACGTGCAATTGTCCCGCCGACACGACCCATACTTGACAAATGCAATGCAAAACCCCTTAGGCACACGTTGGCTCTCAGCGGCGGGTGCGGCTGGCCTACCCCCGTTCTGCCTAGCAACCCGTTCTCGGTTGCGCTCGAGTCTGGCTCGAGACAGGTATTGCCTCACAGATTCAATCAAGTAGGTGTATGAGTGATCGGCGGACTCTTCCGAGGCGCTCAAATAGACATTCAAATGGTGTTGCATTTGCTTACTTTTCTTCAGCTGGTTGTAGAACAGGGCCTCAAGCATGGAGTCATCCGGTGTCTTGGCATTCATCCCTGCAAGGACACCCTCCCAGCTACGCATGAAGGAAGTGAGGTTATCGTTCACGAGCCTCACGTTGAGGAGATCCTCCATGGCATAGGTGGCTCCGCGCTTGATGTTCGTGCTCAGGCGCTCGCCATGAGAAGCACTTGTCTCCCACGAACTGGATTCCTCTTCTGCGCCTCTACCTCCTTGAAGGTGTCGACTTGTCTCGCCAGGTCACCCTGAATGATGTTGGTGAGGGCGGACAGCAACTTGGCGTCCAAGGTGAGGAAAGTACCTGGTTCTTTGAGCTCCTCGATTGTAACGGCGGGCTCCCACACTCTGCTGCTCCACGTGAAAGCGTCATCGGGGCGATCGGATGCCGCACATACGGCTTCCCGCACCTTGATGCGCCAATTCCTGTAACTCTCAGGAAGTGGGAAGGAGGGAATGATGATCCTCTCCGCCTCCTTGACCTTGGGCTTGTCATGGTCTGCGTCCACGGCGCTCGCCTGCTTACACAAGATCTGGTTGAGCTTCTTGCGGATCACTCGTGCTTTCTCCGATGATGATGATGAGGATGATGATGTTGAGGAGCTGGACGATGAAGAGCTCGGAGAGTCGGAAGGAGACCCACTCTTTCGCTTCTTGTGGCTCTTCTTCTTCTTCTTGTCCTTCTTGCTCTTCTTCTTTTTGTCCTTCTTCTTCTTCTTGTCCTTCTTGCTCTTCTTCCCATCGTCATTCCCGTCGTCATCGTCGTCATCATGATCATCATCATCGTCGGGATCGCCGGCAGGTGGTTCCCCACCGCCTCCGCTCTGGCCTTTACCTGCGCCTGATGGATTTCCACCACCATCGTTTGGGTCCTGTGCCGGAGATGTCGGTTCGTATTCCTCGGCATCCCCGTCAAGATCATCGGCGGCACCTGGCCCATCACGGCGGAGTTCGGTAGAAGCTGACCTGATACGTACCTTAGAACTAAGATCCAGGCCGGGAGGAGGAAACGTCTGTACAGGAGAGGCCTTTGGCCTCAGACCGAAAATCGGAACATTAGAAGAACTACTCTGCTCACTGCGAGATTTCAGTTCATGACGTAGTGCCTCAATGTCCCTCGACTGATTCATGATAATCTCCCTCATTTCAGCAGCGCTCCTGTCCGCGTCCTCCTTCTGCTTGTTGTGGGTGACTTCCCAAATCAATTTGAGCTGTTCATACTTCTTCTCAGCTTCCAAGCGTTGAGCAACCCACTGCTGCCTTGCCTCGTTGAACTCTCTTTCCTTCGCCATTGCCTCTTGTTGGCATACGTTGATGTGGTTCACCGCGTCCTGATAGAGTCGGCCTTTTTCCTCAACATGGCCTGCTTGGAGCTGATTGATGATGGCGTCGTGGCGTGCCGAAGCATAGGCAGCCACTTCCTCCGTACTCGGACCTGTGTTGACCACATTCACCGTCTGGCTATGTTGATATATGTTCGGGGCGCTCACATGATGTTGATGAAGGTGAGTCTCATTCTTAGTCATGTGCGCGTGCATCTCTTGCCCAGGTTGATGTCCGGCGAGAGGTTCCCCTCCGCTTCCCATTGAATCCTCCGGAAGGACGACCGAAGTGATGGGCACAAGCGCATCGCCTTGGTCGGACTCAGGAAAACTGCTTCGGGAGCGCTGTGACGGATTGCATGGCGGTTTCCCTTCCGGATGCCCACCCTTGATCAATTCGTTGGCCACTGCTTCGTTCATCCTTGCTATGGCAGGGTGGCATCCGTCGCCGCTTGACGCCATTGCGGCGCGGGTGAGAGCTGACTGTACAAGGTACCAGCGATACGGCTGATAACCTGTTGAAAGGTGGGATCTACCTAAATGTCAGCACGGGCGGCAGTCAATTTTTTCTTGAGCCAGTATCATGTCGGAATGCCACTACCTATCAACAGATTCATACCCACCTTGGGAACTTTCAGGCTTGTTTTTGGTTGGGAAACCACAGTTTTCAGCCCCAAGGTCGAACAGACCCCCCCCCCCCACAACCACCATGCCTCGGATGGGGCGAAGGCCTCTGGCGCCTCCTTGCCCGGCCGCAGCGGCGCCACGGCCACGCAAGCGGCGTTCAGCCGACTTGCCGTGTGGAGCGCCGCGTAGGCCCCGAAGTAAGAGCCCAGCACAGCCACCGGACCAAGCTGCACGAGGGGCCATAGGCCAGGGAAATGACCCAATTGAGAAATCGATGCAGATTCCGAACAAAACGGCGCCTCAAGGAACCCCTTCTCCGACTTGAGGAGAGAGGCACTGCGAATCTAGTTGGTTTGATTTCAAATGAAGGCTTGGATGTAGGCCAAATCGAGGAACCTTGGTGAACATTCGAGGAAAAATTGAATGTTCTGGCACACCAGAAACTCCAGCCAAGGGAATCTATCTACACTCCTAACATGGAAGCTGGCAAGTCCCTTGAAACCTTGAAAAGCCCAAGCTTCCGGGTTTCGCTCAACGGCCTGACTGGTTTGGGAGGGCTTGCTGATGGGTCTCAACGGGCGCCTGGTGAGCATCGCGCGCCCAGGCCACCGCGTGCTCCACGTCCCCCGCGAAGCCGGGGGAGCTGCGCCAGCGCCGCCCGAAGCCCGCGGAGCCCCGGAAGTTCACCTTCCTGCGGGGCTGGAGGGGTTGGAGGCGGGGGGGTCGGCGAAGCGGGCGAAGCGGGCCCATTGGTTGCATCTAGGGGAGGAAGCCAAACCGCTCCACAGGACAGGTGTTGAACAGATATTCTAAGGGTGAGAAGGGTTGTGACTCTCTGTGCCTACGGGTACGAAGAAGCAGATAGTCCCTACACATGGTGAGATGTTGCACGCGCATGTGTTGCGGAAACACAACAAGGAAATGGAAGAGGCGCAGACGCAGGTCGGCGAGGCAAAGAAGTCGAAACTGTCATTGCTGCAAGTGAAGATTTACGCCGGAAAGAACCATCAGGCAAGGGACGCGATCCTAAGGTATGAGAGAGACCTTTGGAGAAAATCAAATGGGCAATCGACGAGCTGACGTGTGTCGCTGAAGAGGTCGTTGCTAGATCATCGAACCGTCAGAGACAGGATTGATTAAGGGGAGGGAGATAGTGGCCACGATTTTGCAATCCTTCCCTACCAGTGACAAATCTGCTTTGCTGTTCGCTGTCGAGCATCTTACGGGGCTAAACTACCCCCCGGTGATAAGAACCTGTCGGCGTTTCGAAGCAAATCGTGTGATATACTTCATGCTGGGCGTGTTGAACATCGGCCGCAACGCCGGCCATCACCATCAGGAGGGCACTCGCTTCGGAAGGTAAGAAGAAGGGAGACATAGGAGGCGAAGAAAGCGCCAAGGCCCCGCAAAAACAACGACGAGGCCGAGTGAGTCGACCAGGTGATCAAGTGATCTGGTGAGACTGTCCCAGGAGGCCATTGACGACGATAAAAGCCGAGGAATGAGCATGAGCAGATGTAGTAAGGATCAAAACAAGAGGATACTTCTTGTCTTCGACAAGAAGATCATCAATGTCAAACACTTCCAGTCGCTGGTCACCATGAGCGAGATGGTCAACGATGCTCAACGATGTGTAAGAGATACATTCGCAGCACCCGGAAGAGTGTTGCTTGACGTTACAGTTCTCTGGGCCGATCTGTCAGTTCTCTTATCTCACTTTCCACAACGATACTGATCTGTCCTGATCTGATTTGCCAAAGGAGTCACTGGGCTGTCAGAAACTGAGAGCCGTTCGCTTGCCACCGACGAGAGGTTTCACCCTGAGGCATTCCTGCGACCGACCGCGCATTGGTCCGAGCAGCAGGACGCCATACCCCCGGCTGAGCAACCACGCATCCAGGCTGTCGGCTCCCTGTCGGTCCCGCTGATCGGGGCCGTCGTGTAGGCGGACAACCAGCGCTGAAGCCCCTGGTGCAAAGCGAACAAAAAGGCGGTCCTTTCAGTAGCGCGCTCCGTTTCTGTTCCCGAAATGGCTTTGGAGACCGCTTTTGCAAGGCTCACGCATCAGGGAAGACATCGCGCTTCACAAACGCTTCTTTAACAGGTGAGCCCCTTTCATCTCGTCACGCCCAACAAGTCCCAAGTAGGAGCTATCGACTGATGTGTGGCGCCTTAGCTCAAAGTCATGACTATGAGCTCGATGCTCCGAGTAACTGGAAGCTAAAACCCGTGCCCACAGCCCAAGAGTGCGGCATCCCCCAAGCCTTCGCGAGGCATTGCCAAGTAGACTGGCAAGTCTCCAGCGTCGCTTTGCAGCCTGCACTTGCAAAGGGACAAAACTGGAAACAATGCTATAGGCTGTGCTGAATTGCCTGACCGCACAAGCAGCATGATGGAAAGGCAAAAGGAGAGCAGCAAGCTTCACTGGCCACGGAGGAGGCTTGTCAATATGTTTGAGCTGTACGTGTGGAGCCCACAAAGAATTGTGCAGCGCCACAATTCAACCGCGCCCCCATGCAAAAGCGAGAGGTTGTTTTTTATTCGTTCACCCTCAGCGCTCCAGAGCCAAACACACACACACACAAATAAAACAAGCAAGCAAGCAAACAAGCAAACAAGCAAACAAGCAAGCAAGCAAACAAGCAAACAAGCAAACAAACAAAACAAACCAACCAACCAACCAACCAAACAAACAAACAAACAAACAAACAAACAAGTAAACAAGTAAACAAACACCAACAAACAAACAAACAAACAAACAAACAAACAAACTCAAAATTGGAAATCCCCCAAGTGGCAGTGTTGTCTTGAACCCCCCCCAACAAAAAAGCGCCGCCCCAAAATCGAAGCGCCCGAAAGGGCACAGCCTGAAAATGGAACGCCAACCACAAATAAGTCACAATCCAAACAAAGTACAACAAGTTCTAAGAATCAAAGGGGCCGATATCCGTATGTCCAGGACTGTTCCCTCAACTCTGATTCTTCCAGGCTTCCTGTTTGCCCGCGGTCACCCGGGACTGGCTGGGGGGAACCAAGGGGAACCAACAGGAAACCACCTTTTGGGACGCTTCTGACTTTGACACGTGGCCAAATCCCTTCCGCCCAGGCCGCCTCTGTGCCTCCAGCCGCGGCCGCAGCTTCGCGCTCTCCGCGCTCAGCGCGGTGCCCCGCAGCAACAGCGCCTCGCGCCCAAAGCCCGCGGCGCCCGGCTCCTCGGCTGGAGACCAGAGAAGCCCCGCCAACTTGGTTGACGTTGGAAGGGGAGCAAAAATTTAAACTTTGGCAGTTAAGTGGTTGGATTTCAACCACTAAACCACAATAAGCAAAAATGCAAAATGTTTCCCAACAACAACCATGGCAAAGACCTGCCAAACCGTAACATTTCGGTTTTTGAAATTCGGACTTGGCCGAAGCGGCAAGGGAAAACCGCCGGAGACTGACTTGAAATTCAGAAACCGCCAGTCACTAAGCTTCACACCTGTGTTCTAGGAGTCAAACTGAAACAATCTCCCGGCAGGCGAACCCATGCGGCCGAAGGCCACGATCCGGCTTGGCGCCTCCGTCGACCAAGGATCCGGCGATCCGGCGCTGGGAGCTTGGAGGCAACGCACGTTGGCGCTGGATGCGTCCTTTGGGGTGGATCAGCACCATGGGCAACACGCTGGTCTTTGGCTCTCGCCCTAGGGGCACTCGGTCCGACAGGGATGAGGATAAGGACATAAGGACACATCGTCCAGCCTCTCTCCACGGCTCCTGTCGGGGAGTGACATGACCCTCTTGGTGGATGCGGATCCCAGGGTTGCCAAGCTCAGCTGACCAGCTCGGGGGAGGACATTACGGAAACCTTGGAGCGCTCTCGTCTGCATCATGAATCAAGGCGGTCGGGTTTGGCTTTCCTGGTGAGTGGCCTTGCGACCTGGGCGCAGACGCTTCAGGACTTTGGCATGGATAAGGTGTGATCGCCGGCGGCTTCAAACCGGTGTTTTGGCCCCAATCGGCATCTCGCCTGAGGTCCTCAAAAGCAGGTATGCGCGGCTGGCCCCGAGGAGTTCGGTGGCTGTGAAAGGAATTGAGGTCCGTGCTGGAGTGGCGCACGGCGACTTCCGTGGCTTAGGAACTGCAGTGAGGTGAAAAATAGGGCAGAAGAGATCAAGGTTGAACTTTCAGGCAGAACGATGTGAGGTGAATCAGTGAAGGTCGCCTACGAGCTCTTCACCCAACACCCAGGTCGTCGCAGAGCGCTTGTACCACATCGTGGGCATGGGAGAAAAGTATCACTCGAGCCGTGAGAGCTTGGGCTTGAAGAGAGCGACTGTCCGGAGTGCCTTGGTGTGGAAGGGGGTGGATGCAGGCTCCACAGTCCATGCCGGTTCTGTGTTCATTACTGGACGAATGACCCACTTGATGTCTCCAAACTGTCGCCTGTGATGCTCACAGGAGGTCCCTCGCTCCCGGAACCGCAGGAGCGATAACAGGCTTGGTTGCCACGAGCACCCTCGAAACAAAGCATGCGTTGGCCACGAAAGTGGCAAAGCAAAACACGTCTTCCAGCCTTCCATCGCATCCCTCTTGTACATGTGGAGCACGCATTATGGAGACAAGCTGCGAATCAGTCGCCCCAGCATTGTTGCAAGGAAGGCTGAGCGATCAGTGAATGATTGAACGCATCCGCTTGACGACAAAAAAAAAAAAAAAAAAAAAAACATGAGGCCCATTCTGCGCCAATGGGTGTTGCGCCGAAAAAAGAAAGAACAAAAACTGGAGCGCTTCTTGCGTCAGCCAAAAAAAACGTGTGGCCTGTGGCCTTGCCACCGAGCGGCTGCAGGGAGGGCCACGGGCTCACACAGCAAGGGATGTGCAAAGTAAGCCACCCACCGCTCCCCGTGCTGGTTGAGGGAGAGAAGAACCATGCCGTCCTCAGTCAAGCCCCAGGTAGGGAGCCCCCCCCCGCGGCACCGCCTGGTGTGGACCAAGAAAGCCCCTTCACCGATTTCACATGACCCTGCCGCCAAGCGGCAGAAGACAACTCGACACCATTCAGCCGAATCTTCTTGGGCAAGTTGGATGATGCTGAGGCCATGAGATCCTCATGCTGGGGGCAAAGGCTGTACGTGCGCGGCACAAGGTCGTCCACAGTGATGGCTTCCACTTCTTCCTGGAAACAGTGCATCTGGGAGCGTGTCGAAAGCAAAAGCCAGTCACTTCTGCATGATCCACCAAAGGGACACTAGCTTGGACAACCAAGTCAGACCAATGCATTGCGCCAAGCCGCGGTTTTCGGATTGACCCAAGCACCGCTCCTCGGATTCCACAAGCCTGAAAACAAAAAAAACTCCCCTTTGCCCCCAACTCTATCCCGGAAGCACACTGGCAAGTATCCCCAAATTTAGACCCTGTCCTTTCCCCCCCTTTCCACCGGACGTTGCCATTCCGAATTCCGAGCCGCGCGCGCACATCTGCGAAGGGGTGGGCGAAGACGGGCGCCGGCGCCGCGTTTTCGGCCAGGCGCAGCAGCCCGGCGGTCTCCCGGTCCTGGGACTGCCGCAGCACCCAGGCGCCAAGCTCACCTCTCGGTGCATCCGAGTCGTCAGAAGGGATCTACCAGAAGCCAGACGGCTACACAAAACTTCTTTGTAACAAAAAACAAATCGCACCTATGGTTGGCATGCGCTGTACCAAGCTTCACTTGCAGAGTCTTTGCGGCTCACCTGGTGGAGGTTTTAGAAGGCACCCTCTGCCGTCGTAGGAGCCGTTGCATGTATGATCATATGCAGCAATAGAACCAGCGAAGCCGGTTGGCGGAAGAAGCAAAAAATAGTTGCTTTTCTCTTTCTCTTTATTTTTATCTTTCTCGTTCTCTCTCTCTCTCTCTCTCTCTCTCTTTTTGCTCTGTTTCTCTATTTTATTCTCTTTTCTGTGTCTCTGTCTCTTTCTCTTTGTCTCTTGCTCTTCGTCTCTTTCCTTCCTTTGCTCTAATTAGTTATCTTATTTCTGTGTCTTTTTCACTCTCTCTTCCCCTTCCTTTGCTCTTCATTTTTTTCTCTTTTGCGAACTATCTACCTGCCTACCTACCTTTCTTCCTTTCTATGAAGCAGTTTGTCTAGCTGGTTTTCGATCTATCTATCTATCGATCTATCTATCTCGCTGTGTCCCTCTATCTCTCTACATCTCTATCTTTGTGTCTCCTATCCTTCTATCCCGCTATCTCTCTATCTCTCTACGTCTCTAGCTCTCTATCTCTCTATCGCTTCTCTATCTCTCCTCAATGTCCATTTATCTCTATCCAGCGTGCTATCAAACTATCCTTGCAACAATTCTGTCCACCTATCTATCTATCTATCTATCTATCCATCCTTCTCTCTATCTAGCCATCTACTGACTAGCGATCTTTCCACCCTTTAAATCATTCTACTTCCTATCTGCCTATTTCTCTGTCTATCTACCTATCCATCTAATCTCACTACCCAGCCAGCTACATAGCTACCCTTCTTGCTACACATCTGCCTTTTGAACGCGCTGCGCCTGCCACAATGTCTGCGCTTGACCTTGCAAAAGCTACGCTTGCCACGAAATCTGCGCCTTGCGAAACTGCTGCGCCTGCCACGACCTTGCGCTTGACACGCCTGCCGCAAAATCGGCAGTCGACCAACACGCGTGCGCCAGCCTGCAAGCCCGCGCCAACGGGACGTCCGCGCCAGCATTGCAAGATGCGTCACACCATGGATCTGCGCCTTTGAGTCTGGCGCCTGCCACGACATCTACACCTCACGCTGCCAAAGCCTCGCGCCTGCCACGCAATCTGACCGCCAATCCAACAGAGCGGCGCGCCCGCCACGCAGTCTGCACCACAAGCGCTGAGTCGGCCCCGGCCCCGAGACCACTCGGAGACCGTCCCGAGCGCTCCGAGCCCGTCGTCCAAAGGCGTCGTGCTTTCGCCCACCGGAAACGCCACAACCCAGCCTATTCCATTTTTTGTCACCACGCGCTCACTCTTTCTTCACCTCACGTGCGCACAAGACTACTTTTCAACCAGTGTCCATAAGACGGAAGCTCCTTCTAAACTTCCCGTGGCAACAAAAACTTGTATACACTTACTATGTGTGTAGAACCTAGCGCCTGCCTTCAGGCAGGTCTTGACCCAGCTCCTCTGCGCCCGGGAAGAACTGCGGCGCGCTGCCCTCGCCAACGACGTCCACCGCCAGAACTCCAAAGTCCGGGTCCAGGGCGACCTGGGACGGACACAAAGCAGCGGCTACCAACCCACCGAAACCAACCGAACCCAACCAACCAGCCAGCCAGCCAGCCAGCCAACCAACCAACCAACCAACCAACCAACCAACCAACCAACCAACCATAGATAGAACCCGTGCGGCGCAGCATCCTCTCCGCCTTTGCGGGGAATGACATCGCCAGCGTGTCTTGGCCCTGTCTACCCAGAAGCCAGCAGGTTTGCTGCGGTGCAGAGGGGGCCGCTCGCAAACAATCTGCGAGACTGGGCCAAACACGTGTAACAGAGTTTCTTGGGCTGCTGCAGGAACTTAGGGGCAAGGAGGTTGCGCAGCGCTGTCGTGTCCGCTGGGCTGATTGCGTGTCCGTCAGCTTGCCGGGCTGCGAGGATCATTTGGAAAGCGGCGAGCTCCAAAGGCTCTGCTTGCGCAGTCGCTGGACCCACGCCCTCCACGGGCAGACCCCGCGCCCTCCCTTCCACCTGCGCACCGCCGCATAGCCCGCGAAACAACACCAAAAGAAAAACCACACAGCCGGTCGGAGCTAACCGTGCTAACTAAAACGTTCGGGCCTGCAGCAAACGCTCCCGCCACGGCACCCGCGACGCGCGCCTCCCACCACGACGCCCTTTTTCTACAATACAGGGACGCCGCCCGCCACGATTCCAACCGCCATCTCGCCCCAACTAAAAGATCTCCCCCCAGCCGCGGCACCAGGTATTCCTGCAGCAGCACTGGCTGCGCGGCCACTGCACCAAACACTTCGTCACTGGACTCCGCAGCCAGCTGCAAGGCACCTCAACAGGCAAACCTAAAGCGGCTTAGGTGATTCTGGGGGGGGGCACTCTCAAGAAAAGTGCTTCAAGAAACGCATCCATGTTTGTCAGGAAATGTGGTTTGAAGAAACTCTCTGCACCCATCCTCCTTTTTGAAAACGGGTACGACTCGAGGTCGCAACTGCCTTTTCAAGATCAGTGACAGTTGGCCCTTGGGAAGACGAGGAAAATCACAAGGCGGCGCCGGGCAAGTATTGAGAAGGAAGAGAAGGCGCAAAGTGGCACAAGCACATTCCATGCGTGCAGGGCTCACGCTCGATGTTGCTGGCTTCTCTTGAGTTGCAGGCCTGCGTGTTGGAGAGTGGAAAGGTGCGGCCTGCTCTCAAAAAGCTTCAGACCACAGCCTTCTAGCCCAATCAAAAACATCGCTGCCACGAAGCCTTCATGCAAAAACAGGCGACCCCAAGCTTCCCCTGGGCACAAGATGACTCTTGCGGGCCACTTCACAGCATGCAAAGCAGCGGTAGGTCTGCAAGGTTAGGTTGAACTGTCATTGAGACTGCGTCAAATATTTCTGATTCGCTAATTCAGCCAAATCCTGGCGAAGTGGGTTAAAGGCAAAAAAAGCTGAGGCCCTGGCTATAAATACGTAGTACATGCAGTGTAAACGATTGCAGCAGTGCCGAGACCCTGTCCAACCAGCCATGCTGTTTGCACAGCACAGAAAGGAACTTGGCAGCGGCTAGCCAATCTGAGCAGCGGGCCAAGGTTGAGCCAGCCATCAGGGCTTCGACGGCAAACTGTGCCGTTCAGAAGCAGCACAGCATCCTATGCAGGCATCACAACAACTCCACGCAACATGCGCAAAATGCTGACAGTTGTGTAGACAAACAAATTCATCTTTCGTGTGTTGCACGTTTGAAGACTGCTGCCGGGTCTCAATCAGCCCCAACTTGGAAAGCAAAACCTCGCGCCAGAGGCTAGTGGGCAGCTCATCGTCAATGGCTGCATCAATCAGATCTCCAGCGCGGGTGTACCAATTCCTCGGAGAACGAAATCCGAGCTGGAATGTTTCTGGGACGTTTGCGGAGCCGCAAACAGAACAGGCCAGAAAGCTTGGCTTCGGTCTGCGTTCCAGCCGGGACAAGCAAATGCTCTACCTACCCCTTCTGTGGATGAAAGAGTTCATGACGCGAACGGCCCTGGCTTTGATACTCCTTGAAGGTATTTTGGCTGAATGCCAAGGCTCCATTGCAAAACTCCCTCGGCAATAAAGCCCAGGAGCACCTGCTCAGGGGGAAAAACGCAGTCCTACAAGTGCGACCTCAGAGGTGTACGGTGTGTTTGTGGCTTTTCGGTGGTTGGACCCTGTGGTGCACATCTGGTGGACATCATATGAATCATATACTTGTTTTTGTATTTTTGAGGGTTCTCTCCGTGAAAATGAACGAATGAGTGCCGCTAGTATGATGTGTGTGTGTGTGGCATCATCATCCAATATGGGCGAAGCACGAGCAGTCTGGCTGGCACGTGTCGCTGGGAATCCAGTCCTCAGGGGAGCCCTGATCATCCAGCCGCAGGATCGGCACGCCAGATAGGCCTCAGCGCAGAAAACCAAACTGGCAGAATGAGCTATCTGCTACTGTCAATTTGTCGATTTGCAAATGCAGTGAAATTGGGAAGGCCTAGCTTGTTAAACAACTGCAATGTGGAGGGGCCGCTCATTTTGACAAACAGCCAATTGGCCTAGACATCTCTGGCAACGGCTTGTTTCAACTCCATCCACATGCTGCCCTCTTCACTCAGCGCTGGGCCCAATGGAACAAACAAGCTGGCCTCGGATGAAAAAGTTCTGTCAGGCTATCTACACGAGGGGATCTCCCCGCATGAGCGCTTGTAGCGGCTACCATGCTGCCGGAATCAAGCTCAGCCTTTCGATTTGCCCCCGCAGCTTTGGATGCACCCAGCAACTCGCACTCCCAACTTCACCTTCCAAAGCCCAAGGATTTGCGAAGAGGGGGAGACTGCCACGGGTCAAAATCCAAATCGTACCCCCAGTGAACATCCCAATCCCCACTAAAATAGGAAGCCTAAAATGGGTGGTGAATTCTCCTACCAACCAAAATGATACCAAAACGGTTTTAACAACCACGGCCACATCAGCACCTTCCAGCGAAACCTTCCATGGGCGCTTCCCCGCCCGCCAGGCGCCTCCTTGGACGGGAGGTTCACCAGGCTGGCCCTGCCCTTGCCCAGGTCCACAACCCAGGCATAGAAGCGGCCGCTGGGGCCCTCCCGAGGAAACATCCGCGAGCTGTTTGGAGTCAAGGGAATGACTTCACCCACTCTGGGGATTTTGTTTGGAGCCTCTGAATGATTGGAGTCGTTCCGGGCTGCGATCCGCACGCAAGTGAAAGAGACAAATGCTGGGCGAGAGGGGACCAAAAGACTCCGAAAAGCCAGCCGCGCCACGTGCGCTCCGGTTTGTCATCACTTATGAGTCAGCCAGAATATATGTCTGAGTCTACTCCCACTTCTGGGATCACAAGTCCATCCAAGCCAGAGGTCACTGGACTCCCTGTGAAAGTTGCAATTTACGGGGTTTCAATGAAACTCCCACGTCCGATGAGGGATGGATCAACCTCTGTAAGAACAGTCTCGCGCTTTGGACTGGCTGGTGAAACACACGACGCATAGAACTGATTGCGTCCGGGAAACTTTTTCGGAAACTGAGCCCCGGCGAGGCTGTACCACCCACAAAAAGGACTGCCAAATAGCGGCTGTTGAGCAACAAAACCAACTTATCTGCCTCCTCAAAACGACACTTATGCCACTGATGACAGTCCAAGTGTACGGGAGCGGGAGACTTTGCCACAAATGACCTCAAGCCGCTGACCGCTCACACACCCGCATCGGCGGTGCAAGCAGCGCTATCTGCTTGCAGGTAAGCCTGCCTTTGGCAGGTTCAAGAAGCAAGCACTTCCAAGCTATTCATCTGCCGAGTCCTTCTTCAAAAAAGATGCGGTGCAGCAATTGTTCCAACCAAGCTATGGAGATACCGCAATACACTGACGGGGGCGACACTCAACCCTGAGGTGGTTGACTTTCATCAAAACATTGAGCGCACCAGTCAGCTGTAGGTGTACACCAACAGCTCCTCGGGTTTGGGCAAACTCATCTGCCCAATACCAAGAAGACCTGTAGTAGAATGATATTCTTGACATGCCTGTAGCATCGATGCTCCAACAGGCCCCAAACTGTCTCCTGTTTCATGCTTGGTTTGATATGTTAATTGCGCCCAAAACCGGGCACTCTGCCATCGCAATGAGACCTCAAGCCCGTCCTTGTTCCCATTGTCGGCGATCAGGTTAAAGAGCTCCTTCGAATCTCCTGGCTTTCCTGGGCCAAGGCGTGGGGCCTGGATGCAAAATCTGCAAAGCCAGCCTGGCAGAGCCGCGCCCCGCGAACCCAACATCGGAAGCCAAAGGCCTTCTGCTAAGCGGCCGTTCACTGCCACAATGCGGTCCCCCTCGTGCACCTTGCTGAGCTGCTCCTGCAACTGAACCCCACACCTTTGGACCAAGCGCTTGCAAGCTGCGAAATCGTTGCAAAGCCAAGTAATCTCACTCTCAACCGGCATGGATAATTGGCAACTGAGCCAAACAATTTTGGACCAGGTGGCGCTTGCAAGCTGTGCACACAGCGGCGCGCGAACTAATGCAACGAAAAACATGTGCCCTGTCCGAATCATCTGCCAAAAGCACGCCGAGCCAGCAGCGTTCTCCCCCGAAATTCAGCTTGTTGCAGGAAATGCAAACACGACTCACATCTTGCTTCTGCCCAAAAATCCGAGTAGCCTGAGAAGGGATCAAGTGCCTGGCACTGCAACCTCGCCTGGTTCCAAATCGGGATCTGCCCGTCGCTCTTCACCTTGGTCACCTGCCCAGCGGTGGTCTTCCCACTGGGGCGCTTTGTGTTGAAGTGTACTTCAGTCTGGTCTGAAGCTTGGTCAAATCAAGCGGTTCCCTTTCTTCAGACCCTTTCGGGAAAGCAAAGGCCAAAGGCAGGCCTCGACGCAGGTTTCCCCGGTCGCGCAGTTTTCAATCTGATGGCCTGATCCTTTCCAATTTTCGCGCACCTGCCTCTAGGCCGAAGCCATCCTGGAGCTCTGAGACCTCATTGGCGACACGGAATTCCTTGTTGGATACTCCAAATGAGGTTGATGCAAGGGAAACCAGGGTCGATTTAAAGACACAGACTCTTGTGGCTACAGGTCTAAATTGTGTGGCCCCTCCAAGGTCGTAAATTGCGGCCCCAAGGTCGCTTTCCTCTTCGCATCGATTTAGAACTGCTTCAATTCCATGCTATATTGGGCACTGGCCGGATGCTTTGTGCCCCCTCTTTCAACCGAAAGAGCGGGGCAAGGCAACTCATTTCACTGGGCAGTTCCTCCCTCCCAAATGAATTGGGTGTGGCTCAACACTATGGTGTTCATTTCCATTTAGCAAGGTGCCACTGTTGTACTTTTTTTGATCCACATCCAGTTGTTGACTCCAAACTAGGGAGCCTCTGGCAGCCCCGTCTTTTCGAAAACGTCTCAATGTCGAGACTCGGCAAATGGTGCTGAGCCCTTCGCCTTAATGCCCAGTTTCTGCTCCGCCTGCAAACCGAGAATGGCCAACTTGGCCCGGCCAACTTGGCCCGGGTTTCAAACCATCTCATGCTATTTGACATGGCCTGCCCTCTGCATCCGCAGCGAAATCCCGATGAATTTGCTTGATTCAGCAACATGGTTGGTGCTAGGCTTGCCTCTCTGGGCTGCTTTGTGATGGAGTTTCTGCGAGACGCCGCACCCTTTAGTGATGGAGGCCTGAAAAGAAGCAAAACCACATGGGCCAATTGAAGCCACGCTCTGCACGTCTCGCCGGGAAGCCCTTGAGACTTGAGACCCATCTGGCAAGGCTGAACAATGAGAGGACCTCGGACTGCTCTGTGGCGTCTGGAGATCCACAAAGATGGCCATGGGTCAAAGGCCCGTACCCCCGGTGAACAGCCCAATCCCCACTAAAATAGACTAAAATGGGTGGTGCACCTGCCCCAAAATGGGGGCACCATTGGTTTTGACCCACAGCCAAATCAGCAAACAAAGGCTCGACATGAGTCAGGAACAGAACGACTTGTTTCCTCAAAAGTAGTCCAAAATGGGAAACGAGGCTGGCCCATTGGTGCTTTTGTAGGGAGGTTGGGCTGTTCCGCCATGTCCGCCCCGTCAGTTGCTCACGTGCCTGGCACGGAACGCTGACTTCACCTGGCCGCTGCATCTTCAAGGATACCTCGGGGGGATTCAGTGCCAGCCACCCCCCCCCCCCAAACAGAGCAAGCTGGAAACGGGCGGCATTTATTGTCAAGTCTTTGTGTTTGGCAAATCCAGCCAGTGTCCCAAAAGCGAACTCCTCGTCAAGAAAAAAATGCCGGGCGCCCCACTTGGCCGGACACCTCCGCCAGCTTCTCGGCGAGCTGCGCGGCGTTGGCTGCCTTGCCGTTGACCTGGCTGGGCTGTCGGCGAGCTCTGCTTAACTGGCCGCAACATGCCTACAGAAGCGCTACTGGGAATTCACACCAAAGGCGGCCGCTTTCACAGTCCGCAAACCCAAAACATGCTGTGAATAGCCCAGTGTGGCCACCATGTGTTTTGTCTCGGCCTCCAGGATGCAGTCCCCCGGTCGGACAGCCTGGACACGACCGCCCAAGCACCCAACCAAAGGCATGCACCCCAGTGCCCGCCACATCTGCTACCGCACCTGGTCCGGGTTGGCTGCATTCCTTGGGCATGCGGCATCTCTGTCTAGTCCAGGCTTTTCCACTGGCGTTTCGCGCCTTTGCATCTTTGCGCGCTTAATCCAGATCAAGTTGCCAAGATGGGATAGCACCCTGCGTGACCGCCTTTGGCACACGCGAAGCATTGACACAAGGCACGCACAAAGCTTTGAATAAAACGCCAACGACAAATCGTGAAAGCACCAAAAACCCAGAAGCCTCCAACACCCACACTCCCCCGAGGTAACCCGAGGCTCCTGGGCGCCTGGCCAGCACAATACACTTGTCCCGCACGAACTCCACCCTGATGCCCAGGGGCTGGCCCTCCTTCGTCACCTCCGTGACCGACGAAGCGACACTGCCGCAAGGCACCGCTCGGCTCGGCGGCTCGGCGGCTCAGACCCGGGCAACGCAGTGAAAGGTAGCCGCCTCAAGCGGCGGGCCCTGGATTCTTGAACCAGAGGAAATCAGGCGCTTTGGTGAAGCCTCTAGACGCTTTTGACATGACTTTTCTAGGATGGAAGTGTCTTTCACGGTGCGGTTTGAACTGGTGCCTTGAACTGGTGCAAAGGAAGGACCAGGAGATTGGGTGATTTCTCGCGCGTGTTGGATGGCATTGCAGTAGTGAGCTGTTTACCATAGTCTCTCGACACCCAGCTATCTGCTATGGCACCGAATCTGGCCTGCTGCCCGGACTCCGACTTCTTTTGCTCTTCCGGCTCCTGGAGGAACATGCAGATTGAGGTCATTTGCATCTGAAAGGGGCTGTTCATGCGGTGCTTGCACTCATTGATGGGCAGGGTGCATAGATCAGCGACTATGGAATCAATGACTGTGCACCAGTCGGATAGCCTGGCCTGCGGCGGCTTCTCTTCCACCTTTGTCGAAGCTTTCTCCGGCTTTGCTGCCTGCAAGCGCGCGGCCAGCAGGGGACCGACAGCAGCATCAAGCGTTGCGCCTCCTTCTTCTTTTTTTCCTGGTAGAGTCACAGTTGCGGACTGTCCGAATGAATGATGGCTCTGTTCGATCAAAAAGCCCCATTGCAGTGCAGGCCATATCCCAGGCCATTCCAATTCAGATCCCGTAGCCAAATCATCCGCAAACCATGACATGTGGGAAATTCCCACCAATGGCTTCGGCCCCCGCGCCTTCGGTGCTTTCGGGGCCTTCGGCTCCTCCAAAGACTGGAGCGCCTAAGCCGAGAAAATTGTTGGTGCAGCAAACTCCTCGCCTTGACTCGTGCTTCAACTCATCTTCCGAATCTTTGTCTTGACCGCGCGTGCACTCTTGGTGGCTGGCAGCCGGCAGGGTGCCAAGCTCGACTGCCTCAAGCTCACCTACTCACCCCCTGGACACAAAGGGAAAAAGACCAAGCTCCAGGCCCTGGTAGTCTCGCCAAGCGAAATGACCTGCAAACGCCAAACCGAGTGCCCTGCACAGCTGGACCGCGAAAGCACATCCCTTTTGGAACTGGAAGGCTGCGACAGCAAAAATTGGCGAGGAAACCAACATGCGAATGCTTAATGGTTTGTCGCCATGGTTCAAGGTGCTGTGGTTTCTTAGTGCTTCGGTGCTGTGGTTTCTTAGTGCTTCGCTAATCCCTTGTAAAGGCTAAACCTTTTGTGAGACGTGCTATACATACCCCTAAAAAGTCTAAAAGTCTCAGTGTGTAGCTGGGAACCGCCAAGCTTTAAGGGATGCGTTTCCTGTATCGTTTCCAGTCAAGAGACGTCTCGCATTGACATCCTGGCCCAGCCTGCACCGCCTTTGTGACAATCGTGGTGCCTCAGTACGAGGCGCTGGAGAGAACTATCCCTTGATGTTGACCCAGGACTAATAAACCCGTCCCATTATTAGGGGGTGCTCCCTCCAAAAGTAATGAATCTCCACTAAAAGGGGACACCCCCTTATTAATCAACCAGGGGTTTATTAATCCGGGGTTAACACTAGCATCTGCCAGCTCTTGGGATTCTCCTTTGCAAAAAAAATAGCAATGCCATCCCAGGTGGTGCAGCTGGGTGGACGACCTGAAACCACCATGGTGCTCATTGCCTTGGCTCAATCTATGCGAAAGCGTTGTGAAGAACCCCCAACCAGTAGATCACCACCGACACGATCTTCTAAACAAGCGTGATTGCCACTGGTCGGGGGAACGACTCATGGAGGTCAAGCGCCTGCTCCAAACAAGCGCTGAGCGAGCCACTTGAAAACGCCGCTTATGAGCGTGGAGCCCGCTTGCGCTGAGCTTGAGCCCATAGGCATCTGGAAGAAAACCCCCATGTATGGACAACCGGCACAGCGCAAGGTCGCGCCCTGCAAAATCCGCAGCCCTTCAAACCTTCAAAATCCTCTCACACCAAGCTGCATCCTTCCCAGCCTCATAGCCCGTGATGAGGAAGGAGCCGTTGTCCAACCAAAACAGGTCTCGCACGCCCATCACCCCAAGCTTGGACCTGCGCGCGGAAAGAAGGGCATCCCAGATTGGCTGTGGGTCAAAAACAGGGAAACCCCGAAATGAGTTACCCTCATGGCTCATACATGGAAACAAGAACTGAAACCTGCAGTCCCTGGTGGCTTTATTTTGACCCATTCCCACATCCACCTTTGTGTACGTAACAACCTGCGTGTTGATCGAGCCTGGGTATGATAGTGATGCCCTCACTGACCTGGGCTCTGTGTATGACTTCCATGTCATGCACACCGCTGCCGTATGCCACGTGGGTGTGTCATGTTTGGGGGGGGACCCCAAAATGGTTGTGTTCCTCGTGGTCTCTCTTTAAAACCACCAAAACATGGTGTCTCTTTCAAACCACCAAAAAAGAAGACCCTCACAAAAGGCACACCCACATGGCGCGAGGCGATGGTCTTGCTCGACTGCGCCAGGGCTGCGGCGTTCGAAGCGCCCTGAACGTCGCGGCGCATGCCCAAAGAAGAAGCCAGGGCTATGAGAGAAACTCCTTTCGCCCCGCATTGAGGCCAGGGTATGTCAGGTATGTCGGGAACCTCCTGGGAGGAACTTCCTTTCGTCTCTCGCCCGCCTTTCCGAAAGCCGCCTCGACCCGGATCCTCACTCAAACCGAACTCCACTCCTTTCGCAAGCTAAAACCAGAGCACAAATAAGGCAAATGGGTGGGGCTCAAAATCAGTCAGCCAGGGTTACGCAGGTTTTACGGTACTGGTCCCATTACCAAGGTGCCATTTTGGTACACTTAGTTGCGCCACAGCCAAATAGGATCCCAGCATGATGCCAGGCTCGCCAAATTCAAAGCGAGCGGTTCGAGTGCCGTCCGGACCTGGAAGCAACGAACTGAATCTTCGCAGCTCTCCCGTAGGCTCCGGCTGAGAGTGAGCGGTTGCGCCGGCGGCGTCAAGAAAGCTGCCTGCCCATGACCATGCCAACTTGCCTCGCCCTCCACTTTTGACAAGCACCATCGACAAACCTCTGTGAGCCTCTGCCAAAAAAAAGAACTTTTCAGGTGAGCATACACCTCATTACCACCTCTGAATGGAGAACCTCTCCCAACCTTCGAGCGGCCTCTGCTGTTGGGATGAACTCCCTGGCATGTCTGGCAACCAGCCGGCGTGGCGTGGAAATGCCTTCAGTGCAGGGCAGGGATCGGCAACCCAATCTCCTCTTTGACAAGGCACCCCCAGCCAAACCTGGCAGCTATGATTTCTGCTGTGGTTTTCTGATCAACTCATTAGGCCCTGGCCCGCTTGCTTCCATCTCGGGCGTCGTGCTGAAGCGTCCACAGCGCTCTGGGCGTCACACCCGCGGGAAGGAAGTGGCATGACAATGGGAAGTCCCCATTTGGCGTTTGGTGTTCGAAAGAAGCCAAGAGGAAGGCAAGCACTTGGAGCGGCCTTTCTTCTGATATACCGTCAATGGTTGATCTTGGATATGTCCAGCTTCTCAAACTAGTTTGCGCCGATCCCAATCAAAGATTTTGGAATGGGCCAAGATAGGCGCGGCTTCCAGAAATGTGTACTAACTGTATGGTGTCCCTGAAACGAGATGAGCAAAGAACTCATGTCGTGCGCTGTTGTGTTTTGAACCATGTACGTCCGAGCAATGGAGAGATAAAGAAAGAATGAAGCAATGAAAGAAAAAATGAAAGAAAGAAGAAAAAAACGTCAGGAAGGAAGGAAGGAAGGAGGGAAGGCAAGGGAAGGGAAGGGAAGGGAAGGGAAGGGAAGGGAAGGGAAGGGAAGGGAAGGGAAGGAAAAAAAAAAAAGGAAAGGAAAGGAAAAAGACAGGAAAAAACCTGAAAGAAATAAAGAAAGAAAAAAGAAAGAAAAAAAGAAAGAAAAAAAGAACGAAAGAATGAAAGCAAAGAAAGACAGAAGGAAAGAATAAAAGATTAAAGAAAGAAAGAAAGAAAGAAAGAAAGAAAGAAAGGAAGGAAGGAAGAAAGGAAGAAAGGAAGAAAGGAAGAAAGGAAGAAAGGAAGAAAGGACCAAAGGAAGAAAGGAAGAAAGGAAGGAAGGAAGAAAGGAAGAAAGGAAGAAAGGAAGAAAGGAAGAAAGGAAGAAAGGAAGAAAGGAAGAAAGGAAAAAAGGAAGCAAGGAAGAAAGAAAGAAAGAAATATAGAAAGAAAGAAGAAAACAAAAAGCAAGAACGAAAGCAAAGAAACAAAGAAAAGAAGAAAGAAAGAAAGAAAGAAAGAAAGAAAGAAAGAAAGAAAGAAAGCAAGAACAAAAAAAAGACGTAAAGAAAGCAAGAACGCAAGCAAAAAAAGAAAGACAGAAAGAAAGAAAGAAAGAAAGAAAGAAAGCAAAGAAAGCAAAGAAAGAAAGAAAGAAAGAAAGAAAGAAAGAAAGAAAGAAAGAAGAAAGAAGAAAGAAAATACTTTGCTTCGCGCAATCCCCACCCTCGACACTCACGAGCTTACGACCGTGAACACTGTTGTGTGAATTCAAGCATGGTTTTCGAGTGGCTTGGGGCCTATGACTGCTCAACAAGCTTGGCATTGAGAGCCTTATCCACCTGTCTGTGTGTCAAACTCCACTTGTCTGCGAGCCGAGCTCGAGAACACAAACATCGGTTCCGTTAACAAAACCCAAGCCCCTTCCAAAAAGAAACCCGACGGGGGATTCAACGAAGTTGCATATTCACCACCCAAACACGAAGGCACCAACATGAAATGTAAACCCAACTGTGCACCGGGCGGGACACTAAGCAAAACCAGACTGGCGAGCTGCTCTGGCGGGATACTGGCGGGATCCACTGGCGAATGCTGGCGAGCCGCTCCGGCTTGATGCTGCCCAGATACTCGGCAGGATCCACCGGCAAGGGATACTCAGCGGGATACTCGGCGGGCTACTCGGACGGGATACTCGGCGGGATCCACTGGCGAGCTACTCTGGGATACTGAGCGGGATGCTCGGCGGGATCCACTGGCGAGCCACTCTGGCCGGATACTCGGCGGGATCCACTGGCGAGCTACTCTGGGACACTCAGCGGGATACTCGGCGGGATCCACTGGCGAGCTGCTCTGGTGGCCACTGGCGAGCCGCTCTGGCGGGACACTCGGCGGGATCCACTGGGCGAGGTGCTCTGGCGGGATACTCGGCGGGATTCAGTGGCGAGCAGCTCTGGCGGGATACTGGGCGGGATCCACTGGCCAGCTGCTCTGGCGGGATACTCGGCGGGATACTCGGCGGGATCCACTGGCGAGCCGCTCTGGCGGGATACTCGGCGGCATCCACAGCCGCTCTGGCGGAATACTCGGCGGGGTCCACTGGCGAGCCGCTCTGGCGGGATACTCGGTGGGACCCACTGGCGAGCAGCTCTGGCGGGATACTGGGCGGGATCCACTGGCGAGCAGCTCTGGCGGGATACTCGGCGGGATCCACTGGCGAGCTGCTCTGCCGGGATACTCGGCGGGATCCACTGGGTGGGGGCGTGGTGTAGAAGCATCGCAAACGCGGATTCCAACATAAATTCTAACAACCCCTTCCTGTCGGGTGGGGAATAAAGCAAGAACGCAAGCAAGAACGCAAGCAAGAACGAAAGCAGAAAGAAAGAAAGAAAGAAAGAAAGAAAGAAAGAAAGAAAGAAAGAAGGAAAGCAAGGAAACAAGGACCCAAGAAAACAAGGAAAGAAAGAAAGAGAGAAAGAGATTTAAAAAAAAAAAAAAAAGAAAAAAAAGAGGGGCAAAAAACAGGGTGCACTGCAGTTGCTGCATCTATTGCAATCCTGTTAAACGCTAACAGGTGACTTCAGCAACCTCAGGGCTCAGCATTCCGGAATGCGTTCAAAAAGCTGCGCGTCGCGCCAGGACAGGCCGCCTCATTGCGCAAAGTCATACCAGCAACTGCGCGGGGAGCTACAAGGTGCAAACTTGTCAGCCTGAACTTGAGACATGGCTGTGGGTCAAAACCAAATGGATCCCCTTTTTGGGGGATAGGTGCACCACCCATTTTAGGTTTTTTTTTAGTGGGGATTGGGATGTTGACTGGGGGTGCCGGACTTTGACCCATGGCCCATTGCGCCACACCAAAAATGCGAGTGATTGAATCAAGGCTGACATGCGCACTGAGAGCCAGACTACGCACGCAAGCGCCAGCCAAACGATTCGCGCCCTTCACAGGATCACAACCCCGGAACATTCATGCTTGTTCAAAATTGCTTTGAAGGGCGTTTCAGGGTCATGAGATTCTGTCAACATCCTGGCTAAGGCGCAAGTGTCTCCGCTGGTTCGAGAAGATCAAACTCTAACAGCAAGGCCCACGTCGATCCTCCACGCAAAGCACCTTCCCGTCTGCACGGCTGTGCTCCAAACGACGCCTGCATGGAACCGGCGCCCTTCTTGGTCTTGGCCTCGAGTGCCGCGCCACGAGCAACAAGCCAGCGGGCTGCTTCGTGAGCGGGCGCTAATTACTAAGTTCGCTTCGTCCTCTTTCCGAAGATGCTGAAAGATTCTAGAAGAAAGGCCAGATTTGTGCGGTGCTTGTTGCCCACAAAGGAAGCCCTTGCGTATGAAAAGAATGCGAAGCATGGCTAATTCCATTCATTCAGTTTGGCGCGGAGTCGCAGGGTTTCAGGAATATCATCCAACGCAAGCCACAAAAGTCATGCTCGTTCCTCGCGCAACCCCACAACCCTGCCTGACACAAGTGGAGGCTAGCCTGTTGACTGTAAGTCCTCCAGCGCCCACCCTCCATCTCGCCAAAGCGGCCGGGACGAGTCCGTGGCCAAAACAGGCACCTCGGCATTGAGCTCAAGGATCCCGCGGGCGAATCTTTGAGTGTGCAAAAAAGTGCCATGTACATATATATATATGTAATGTAATGGCATGTGATGTGATGTGTTGTGATGTATTGTAATGTAATGTAATGTAATGTGATGTGATGTGATGTAATGTAATGTAATGTAATGTAAGGCAGTGTAGTGTAATGTAGTGTAATTTAATGTAATGTATGTAAAAAATGAAGAGTAGCCAACAGGAGTATTCGTTTTCGAGACTCCAGTTTGGTCTGCAAAGTTACAATTGGCTTGCAACCAACGTGCTTGACGGTGAAATGACAAACTCATCTACCCGAGATAAACGTAACCGTGCAAAGCCTCCACGTGGCATCAACAAAGGGGCCTGGGCATTGTGTGTGTGTGTGTGTCTGTAGCCCTGTTAGACACAATGTTCACAAGTGAGAACTGCTTTTTGGACTGCACACGCCCTGCCGAATCATCGCATGGAGCCGCCTTGAAAGCTTCAGTGTGAGTCTGACAAAGTCAGGATGCCAGCTGCTGACAGCACACAAAGCACCACGCAATCTTCGCGAAAGCGCGAAATCACCACAAAAGCACGCTGATCTGTTGGTCAGTGGTTGCATCCGCACCTCTCGAATAACTGGCCCGTATGTCTCACTCTGGGAGAGCTAAGTACAACCATCTGCGTGAATCCAAAGCGCCCCGGACGCTTCGCCGCTAAACACAGCCTGCCTGCCGGGCCTGCCTGCCAAGAAGGAAACAGCTCAGGGGCCATCTCTGAACATTAACAAGAAAAACGCGGCAAGTCGGCGCCGGAGAGGCAGCATCTCTGACAAATAGGATTGTCCGCAGTACAACGAGTCAAATGTGGAGCCGGAGGCACTGCGGCGAGAATGTGACATGAGTGGGTCACATTCGCGCGGGAAATGTATTCTCATCCAAATGGACTCAATGAATGGGTCCGGGCTGGAGGGCAAGATGAAAAAACCTTCATATCATATGGGCCGAGTACTGGCCACTCTCGACCAACCTCTGCAACGCCCCAAAGCTTGCAATTTGCATGCAGATTGGGGACCTGTCCGGGCCCCATCTGGGCGATGGATTTGGGTTCCCCCGGTGTGCTGCGAGGCGAGTGTGAACCTGCCTCACAGGTGAGCGTTTGCCTTGCCATTTACCTGGGGTTCGGGGCGGAGCCTGTCTCCAAATCCATCTGCCAGCATGTTTGAACATTTATAAACAAGAAGCATCGCAGCATGGGTTTGCCACTAAGCAACCCATGCAATGGCAGAACCACTTCGGACATTCAAAACTTGCAGGTCGGTTCGAAACCCTCTGCACAGGCAACGCAAAGCCTCAACCTTTCCTGTGCGCGGCAACTGAACTTAAGATTCACACGCTGGTGCTTCAATCACTCAAAGTAGGTTGAGGCCACTGCACTTGCACATTTCATCAAATGGACAAATGTGATTCCAACTGCGCTGTGCAAAGGCAACGTGCACAACAAACTCAGAGCTGTAGATTGCCAGGCAATAAGAAAAAGACAAAATGACAAAGGTCGGAATCTCACAGCAGTGCAGTGCTTGCAATGTGGCACAGAGTATTGGCCGTATCCAATTCAATAATGGATCCTGAGGCAGAATTAGGTAGTTGACCATCGAGACAATGTAAGTGAGCGTGAAGTGAGCATTGCAAAATGCATGCTTGTGGCTCCAATAGATACCGTATGCAATCTCCAACTATTGCAGATGGTCAGCTGTGACTGCCAAGCACAACCCACAACACCATATCTGCGCAAAAACAAAAGCCTGCAAAGGAGCGACTAAGGAGGCAGGCGACAATGGGAAGCAGTGTCTTCTCTGCTTGTCCAAACTCAGCGACGTGCCCGGCATTCCTCACAGGGCAGCGTTGTCATCATTTCGTCGCACAAGCCCCAACCTGGCCTGAAAAGCACTGATGATGGACCTGTCTCCCGAACCTGAGCAAGGTCCGTTAGCAGGCTCGGTTGTTCCTAGTTGCATTCTGCGAACGCCAATCTTGACTACCCGAACCGAAAAGTATTGACCGGGCCGTTTGCAGCGGAGAAAAGCGGTGCAACCATTCCAGCCGCTTGAAACTGCCAGCACGTGCACTGCTCATATTCTCGCAAAACTTCCATCCCCCCCCCCGGCTGGCTGAACGCAATGACCTGCATCTTCCATGGCATAACTGCGGCCCAGGGGCGCATGGCAACTTCAGCAGCTGTTTGGCCGGAACTGTTCTCCGCCAATGCCATTGTGGCATCCTGCCAAACAAACAAAAGGAAGTCAAAGCTGCTGGGTCGGAGCAGAAAAAAGTGGGACCCTTTAGTAGACACCATCTAGGCAATGTCAACCATTCCCAACATGTTGATTTGTTCATTTCGCTATCTGCTCCGAGCACCTTCGCCAGGATCAAGCAGCATGCTGCAGCATCCGCCTGCGGTGTCAAATCATACAAGCGAGACTCAATACCTGCTATTGTTGGTACGGATCTGAGCCAATCATTGAGGCCTCCCCAGGGCCAGTGACCCAAATAGAACCCTCTAATCTTACTAAGCCTCTAATCAACCGACAAATATTTCACATTCAGAACTGTCGTACTTCTGCGCCCCTTTGGCAGCCCGAGCGGCTTGCGCTCCGCGCCTGCTTCACAGCGCAGTGCAGCACCGTGTCTCCGCGAGAATCCCACTCCTGGGGCCCCGCAGCCGAATCCAAAACGGATTTGGATTTTCCCTTACTTTCCGTGAGCACAGGTTTGCTACCCAACACTTTGAGTAGCTCCAGAGATAGAAACCCAGGAGCTGATTGCCGGGAACTTCCGACCAAAGCAGGCGCTCCAAAACACACCTTACCCACTCCACATGGCGGTCTGCAGTCCTGCAGCGCTTCGAAGTCTGGTCTGGACAGGTTGCCACGGAAAGAACGGGACCCAATGGACTCTCATGTTTCAGACCACTCCAGCCGTCAACACGAAGCCCTGTTGAAAGCCTCCCAACGCGGATGCCCAAAACTAGGAACCATGGTAGCTGCCCGACAGGAAGGTCTTGGTTGGGACCAACCTTCTCTAGAAGCCTACAGGTTTTCACCCCCTTCTGGCCTTGCCAGAATTGCGCGGCTCACTTCAAGCATGCGTCTCCTGGCCGTCATCGCCATCGGGCCGAGCAACTTTGAATCAGCTCACAAGACAATTATGAGTAAACCAATATACTCTGATAGTCAAGTTCGGAGCTAGAGTCATGCCTCACCGAGTGGTGAAGAGGAGTGCTGCCAGTGTTGTCAGTGCGATTCAGGTCCTACGAGGCAAGTCACTCAACATGAGTGTCATAATGAGGAAGGCCACTTTGAAGCTCTCACTCTGTCTCCTGAATGCTCGCTTGATTCACGCGAATAAGACATTCGCCCTGACGGGCACGGCTCCAAGGCGCCAAAGTGTCAAGGCGCCAAAGTGTCGCAAAATCAGCGTCTATCGATATTTGGTTGGAGGTTGTCGTAAAAGAAATCGAACGTTTTGAGGGGCTCCGTAGTTTGAGACACTGCCAACATTAGCATTCTTGAGGCCTCGCCGCCACTCCGCAGTGCCTCACTCAGCCTCGAGGCGATGCCGCAGAAGTTGAAACAAATGCGGCATTTCGAAGCACTGATCAGAACGGCAATGTGATCTCTCTCGAACACACAAGCGCAAAGCACGCAGGCCATGCTGTAAGAACTTGGCGATTTCCTCATCTCTGGTGTGAACCCCACCTCTGACCTGCCAACGCGCAACGACATGTGTCCGCGCAAAACACGACATTCCCGATTCGCACAGCTGCAGCGGAAGCGGCCACGGCACATCTAACCACTGCTGAGTCACCACGCCTGCAGCTCGTTGCAAGCTGGCCCAGTGCCATGCGCGGCACAACCTGACCAAAGAAATCTCATCCCTGACAAAAACAAATCCATGGCCAATGCGAATCAAGCGAGCTAGGATGAGCACCTTCGCAGGCAAGCCAGGCTGGGGCCTGTCCAGAAGCCTAAATTGCAGAGCAGCCCGGAACAAATGCCCGCAGCATGAAAACACATCACACAATCTGCCTTCCCTTGTCCTTGGTCGATCCGTGCTTGCAAGCTGCCGATTCACGCCGATCGATGCATTCCAGCCCTCAAAGTCCACTGGAACCTGAGCATGGAGAAGCCTGCGAGGTTGCACACTAGGAACCGAGGGCGGGGAGCCTGGCTTTGACCAAAACGAAAGGCGCGAAAACTCAAAGGAGGCGACTATTCTCAGAAAGTGCTCTAAGCACAAGTGCTGGCAACTGAAGCTGCATTGCGTGTTTTTGCCCAAACTACTATTATACATATATATATATATATGTATACATGCATATCTATGAATTTGTGCACTACAGTGCTGAGCACTTCAGAAGATGACTGTTTTGCACAACAGCCCCACAATCACTGGAAACTCCAAAATAAGCCCTGAATGTGAAATGGCACTTGTGTGACACAACAATGTCCACTATCGTGTGCAGAAGCATTGGGCAGAAAACTTTTACGGTGCGGTCGCGGGCAGCAGCGAATCAAGATTGAGAGCTTGAAGCAAAATGGCATACATGCCATACTGACTCACATTGCTGACATATTACTACCGCTGCGCTATTGGCATTCTTAATTTCTGAAGCCACATTGTTTTGTTCAGAACTGGCGTGCAGAATGAGAGCGCAGCGACCACGACGACAGATGTTGATGGCAAGGTAAGGCCCCCAGCAAAGCATTGCTCAGGCCAGCAACGGCAAGGGGGGCTTTTCTAGTAACCAATCCCCGGTAGAATCCATGGACACCGCCCAAGCCGCGACCTCAGCCAAGGAACCACCATCGACTCCTGGTCAAATCGGCTGAAGGTCCGGACTCTGTTTGGTGTTCACGTAGTGATACTAGAATGTGAATGAAAATGACTAGCCTGAGCGCCTTTTGCTCATCGGACCTCAAATCCTACCTGGATATCCTGGATGTGAAAATAGTTGCCAGCAAGAGATGTGATGTGCTCAAATATCAATGCAGTATTTCAAAGTAGCATTGCATAACAGAACTCAAATATTTGCAACACCTGTGGACATCGCAGGGTTCGAGCTGCACGCCCCACAACTGCCCGTCGTTTGCACGCAGTCCTCGCCGCGAAAGGAGCTGTACATATTATCTGGCGCGAAACGCGCGATTTTCACAGCCCTCTCTTTGCTTGCCTCTGCTCTTCGGCGTTCCCTCTGCATCCTGTTACTTGATTCTTCATTTCAGTTGATGAACATACATTCTCATCTTCCCCTCACCGCCTGACGTGCGTCCTCGCGCGGGCAAAGAATCCTGCAGGCATCCGCAGCTGAGTCCAATCCGGTCTTTGGCATGATTGGCAGCCGAACATGCTAGATAAACTCGGGCAATGCATCTGTGAGTCCACTGCGCAAAAATATGTGTCAAATGTCTGCCAGCACGTTCTGAATGCCAGCCATTTGCCTGTAATTACATTGCTTCGCACTCTCCCTCTCTCTCCCTCTCTCTCACCGTGCTGGCGTCCTTGACCAGCTAGGCAAATGGGGAAGTCGTGAAACACATTGCTTGAGCATAAAGCTGCCATTTCAGATTCATAGCACCGAACATCGAGGGCGACCAAACATGGTCAAATCCACATGCGTGACGGTGCCCACAACACTGAACTCGATAGTTCATCCAAGCTCATGGCCTCTCTGCTGCAGTCGTCCATCTGCCGCGTCTCAATCCATTTCAGAGTGTCTAAGTTTAAGCGACTCAAAATCGTGATGTTATATTTCTGGCTGCCGCGTGTGTGTGGAGCTGAAGGCACAATTGACAGGGCTGGATTGAAGTCGGTTTGTCTGGTTTTGGTTTTGATGAACTCGCCGAATGTGCCGCGTGTTGCCACACATGGCACATGGTAAGGCTCCGTAGCGCCACATGTCAAGCCGAAAACTGGCTGGGCAAAGCAATCACTTCCTTCGGCATGTACAAAAGAAGCAAATGCAAAGTGCTTAGCGAAATGCAAAGCTCGGCAATGACTTCAACCATTTTCTCATGAATCTGCACGTGCCTCTGCACGGAGGCTCACGGGCGCTCCATGGCGCGGTGAAACTGGTGCATTTGCAAGCTATTCCCAGCACGTCGGTCCAATGTTTCGGGTGATTCGGTTAGATGGACGAGGTATTGCCACAAAGCAAGTGCGGGTTTCCGTTCGAGCCGTACTTGCTCAGCGCCTTGCTGCTGCTCAGCGCCTTGCTGCTGCCCAGCGCTAGCCTTCCTGGCAGGCAAATCCCATCAAATCACGTGAGTTTTTTTGTGAAACATAGAGCATCTTCTTTTTGCATACCCTTGCCCTTGTTAGGTCTCCGAGGTTGCAACACAAATACTGACAACTAGCCATGTGCAAAACTCTTCAGGCAGATCAATCAGGTCAATGTCCCGAACACGCATCACCACCAAACCAAAAACAAAAAAGTCAGAGCTCGCCAACAGCCGCCAAAATTCATATGTTCATGCTGCATAGCGCATGCACAAGAGCACATGCGCGTTGGCCTCTGCATCCGAAGAGCCTTTCACCTTCTTTTCGGCCTGTCGGGTTTGGCACGCACATCAAAACGCGCACCTTTGACAGTCGCAATGCAGAGAGGGACGGCCACGAGAACTATTGATGAAAAGGTCACATGCTGCATCTACAATACACTCATGGATACACCAACACCGATCTCAGCAGAGGCATCATGCCAGCGCCTGGCTTGTCTCGCCGGCTTTCGCCTCGCCCTTGCGCTTCTGACCTTCAAAGCCCCCAGCACCCCGTCTGGCATTGGCCTCTGACCGCACAGGAACCCCAGCCTTTGGGAAACTTGGTCTGCTGGCTGCGCCTCGCAGGCAGTGCAGCGCGAGTCCGCAGCCAAGTTGACGAGAAGGCCGTGACGCATCTCTTTCTCCCAGAGGCCACCGCGGCCGAATCTCCACATGATTGTCGGCACCTGAGGAGTCAAGTACTTCGAATACAGTTTGTTTGGTGGCTAGTTTCCCTTCGGTCATGCGTTCATTTTGGGGTCTCAAGTGTCTTGAAGCTGTGGTTCCACGCCGTGTTTGGATGGAGGTTCCTGACAGCGGTCTTCTCCATTTGCTCCCAACGCAAACGAATCCTGGCCTCGTACAGCCCCAAACGGAGACGCTCGATTCCAGCCCAGGCCTGTCGAACAAGAAGCGATGCGAAATACATCTGGACGCAATTGTGCAGCCAAAGTGGGGACATGTTGGTTGCATGGTGCAGGCTTACCGGGCAATTGTATAAATGGCAAAGCGTGACGATGAACGAAACGCCAAATGCAGTTCATTGAGTGCACGGCCACCATGACACCATTGTCAACACAAAGCCTGACGCTCCCCCCCATGTGGCCAAGTTCATGCAAAGACCTCAAAACAAAGCTAAGGATTCAGCCGAGGCGGAGGACAGCGCATCTGCAAGTCATGTTCTTGCGCTACCTTTCCAAGAGCATCAATACCAACCTCCTCTTCACGTATTCATTCTCGAATTCGAAAAGTGTTCTGCATGTGAGTCTGACAGCAGATCCCAGCCTTTTCGAGTCCTTTCCTCACCTCCTGGTTGGCGGCCACGCCGCCAGCCACAACCTCAAACTCGCAGGTGCAGAAACAAACCGGGCATATTTTACAGCCTCGCCAACCTCTCCCCATGATTCAGGATTGGCCAGTTCCGCGGGCTGCAAAGCCCTATGGTTCTGCGCACCGTACCTTTTTGCTAAGCCAGTTGTTGAAGACCAACCCAATTTCGGTTGAACGAGTCCCTAAACGGGGGCTCCATGCTTGTTTGCCAATGGATCAAATGCCGGGGTCTTGCGGGACTCCGCTCAGGTCAAAGCCAGCCACTTTGCAGGCTCAAGATCTGTTGCCCAGCCTAGCGTGAATATATGAAAGCCAACCAGCACGAAGACCAGGGTGTGGTTGCCAAGTTCAAACGCTGCACCAACTACAGCCCAATATCCAATTTCAGTGAACCCAATGCACAAAGTACACTGCCTGTGGCGCGGGATGCACGTTCGCACAAATGTTGTACAGCAACGTGTTGGAACCTGGCAAACGCAAATTCCGGCAATCACACGCTCTCCAAAACGACCAAAAACCGATGAGAACATGGCTGGCTAGCGCCGCTGCGACATCCGCCTTGACTTTGTGCAGCTCATCCTTTCGCACGCCGAACAAAAATCAAATATCGCCCCCACCGTTTGCATGGACGGTTTACACCCACCCGACACCACCATGGCTCTGGGAACCCATGCGCAGGTGTCCGCCTTTATGTTTGCAAATCAACGCCGCACGTTTTTTTGAAGTTTCCAAGTAAATTTCATTTGCATGTTCTGGGCCCAGTGTCAAACCAAAATGACACCATCCCGCAATTGCCCCGGGGTTCTCGTCAAAAAAACGGCATCCCATCACAAGGGCCAAAGTCCTTTGGCTCGAAACTACCTGGTACTGCAAACAAAAATGGTCACCGGACTGCCTCCGGAAGGCTTGATGCTTTGGCACTTGGCAATTCCTTCTCCACCAAAGTCCTCTCAGTTGCACCACCAAGATCAACTCTTCTTATTTCCACGTAATTGTAGGCCTGACAGCTGTCTTCAGCCCGGAAAAGGAGAAGTCGCAGCCTTCCTGCAGCACCTAGGCAACGGCCGTCGCCCAACGAAAACAAAAGAACCACACCCAGCCTTGTCTCTAGTCTTTGATAAGGGTTTCGGCAATGGATGGACCTGCAAGTCCCAGAGGTTTCCACATCTATATGATAGGCATCGCCTTCGGGTCGCCATCTTTGGCTAAGCGCTCGAGGTGGGGACCACCAGGTACCTCTATGGGGCGAATCCAAAATGCGCTCCGCGGATCTGAGCTGTGCACCTGGGTAATGCCCAGCACCCGGGCCTCGGGGTGGACCAACTTCCCACCCACCACGTGCAGAAGCAATGAATGATATTTGTTTTTTCGCTCAAGATGCATGATTTAAATCTGAGCCAACACCCGGAGAGATCAACGCGTCAACATATAATGAAAACATACTGCTTTGAAGAAAACTGGTGTTGATTTCAATATGGGATACCGGGCGCCCGACTGTCTTATCAAACGCTTCTCCGATGGAATCATCGATGGTGCTACCCAAGATGGTGTGCTGTCCAACCTGAGTGCTCAAATTGCAACCATTGTGTGAAATGACAAAGACATGACCAAATCATTCAACACGCAGTTTGACTTGCGGCTGATTCAATCGCTCAAACCGGCACGAGGTCTGCACCCCTCTGGTAAGCACGGCCATGTTGTGGCCGCCAGAAACCAACAACCTGGCCACCAAATGGTTCCATCGGAGTCCATCCGCCAAAACATGTTCAAAACATGCCAGAGTTGCGTGATGAAGGGGAAATCTGGCGTGCCACCACCTGGCCCATCCCAGGCTCGAATTTATGGGCCGCCCTGCCCCCCCCCCCCCGGCTCAAATGCCTGCATCTGATGAAAGCGTTGGCGGCAATCGAGTCACCTCAGTTTCAGTCATGCAAGCATGTTCCCGTTCGGTTTTTGCACTGGCGCCAGAATGTGTGTTTTGCGTGACAAATTGCCGCGAGTGGTTTGCGATTGCACTTTTAGGCCATCACCATCATATGTGCCTCCATGTGGTGCACACGAACCTGGCAGGCACGCTGCATAGTTTCCGGCGTTGTGCTGAAATTGCCAGGCTCACCAATGGTAGCCTGTGTTCCGCAGCAATGTGGAGGGCCTTGCGCGAAGTCCGAAGGCTCAGCAAGCCATGGGCTTTGCTGCGCGCGGTCGGGCAAGCCTTCCGTACACCCACTTCCAGGCACAGACCAAGGCCAGGCCCAACCTCGGACGTGCAGGACTAGCGCATGGAGTGGGGCGCCAGGTGCCGGCTGTGACTGCTACCGCCGAAAGCTCTGATGGAGCAACGCCTGCAAAGCAGTGCAATGGAAAGTTTGGCCGAAAGCCACGCTACCTTTTCAACAGGACAAGTTCCCCCAACCAATGCTCGTTGCGTCGAAAGGAAATCTAAGTGAAATATACCAAATAGCAAGCAACAACAAGAGCAAGGCGTGAACCGACCTGCCATTCCGCAAAAAAAATGCCCAATGTAGCCGTAGATCCCCTACTAGCCTTACTGAGACCACCCATGTTTCCAGATTGTAAGGCCAGATTTCGGGATCCAGTGCGCCTGCTCTCCGCAGAGCCTCCTCGACTGTCTCATCTATGGCCTGGGCGGGGTAACACGTTGACTCAGCTCAACTCGGAGCCAAGTGTCGACTTTGGCCTAAGGCTAACCCAAATTCCCGCCTTCTTGTGGCCCTCTTGCGCCAGCCGCGGCACTACTCCTCCCCACTGCTCGTGTATACCAGCCTCCGCTCGTCTTGCTTGGGGAATGCAAGACAATCCTTCCCCAATGAAAACGTGGGAAACTATTCCAAGCGTATTGTTCCAGGGTTTCAAACATGTAATAGGCACAGTTGGTGAGCACACAGCACTTCAGCTCTTCCGGGCGCCCGCTTGCCTGGGATGCCAGCGCCTCACCCAGGATTTTGCCATCGCCCCTCGCGACAGTTTCGAGGATTCGAGCATGTCATGCACTTCATTTTTGGTAGGTAGCGGAAATCCGAGTGTTTGTAGCTGCGCTTGCTGCAATTCGTGTTGCAATCGCGCGCACCCCAACCACTGAGCCAGCCATCGATACACATCCCATCTGAACGTGCCTCAGCACTGCGGCACCGGTGTCATCGCAGCTGGATTCGATGCCAAGCACGCGCCTAAGCAATGGCACCCACGGTAACAAAGAGATGCACCATAGGATACACCTGCAGCATCCCCAACACGCCGAATGCAGAGACAAGGCGCCATTCTAGCGGGTCGCTGGGCAAAGCTTGACAGTTCCTGGGAAGGACATTGTCTGACTGTTGGAGGTTGGACTTGGACCAGACCTTGGCCTTGATGAAGGCGTGCTGGACAAAGGCCCAGCCTTCCAGGTAAGACTGGTGCTGGAGGCTCACGCCGCAAGCCACAGAGCCATCGCCTGCGCCTGGAAGGTCGGTACACTTTGCCTCGCAGTGGCACGCTGCTTGGCTCTCCGAACCCTAGAACCCTGGGCTCGGGCGGCACAGGGCTCGCTCTCGGAGGATCGCTCGGCCTGGCCAGTTGGCGAATCTCGTGGAGTGCCACGCTAAAACATTCGCCTGGACCGCACTGGTCCCCCCTCCGATTGCCATCGATCAATGGCCTGCGAGTCATTCATTGGGCTGGCTCAGGCCAAACTCCCAGCTTGCAACGCTGGACAGGGCGCCTCTTGCCATCTGGAGCCTACCTCAGGTTCGTGGTGACCCTTCCACCACTGCGCCCTCTCGTCTTGTCCCTTGGACCCACAAACCCTCCCTTTCCTGAACTCAACGCAAGGCTCGGGCTGCTGACAGCTGCACTATCCTGCCTTCGGCCTGGCACAGCCAGTCTCGCCGCTTGCAGCAAGCAAAACCAAAAAACAAATCTACGGCTTCTCCGCGGCAGACGGCGTCAAAACCACACCTGAGGACCAAAGCCCTCGAAGGAAACTTCCAGACGAGGCGGCTTCTCCTGCCAACGTGCCATGCCAAAGAATCAGCCAGGCTCCGAATGAGGAGCGCTGGGCCAGGCTCAGCTGACAGTCCCTGCCGAGCCTCGTTCACGAGTTGTTCCCCGAGCCGTTGGGGCCACTCCACCAAGGAAATATCTCGCCAAATCACCTGGAGAAAAACCAGTCCCAGGGAAGCTCCGATGCACAAAGCTGCATGAATCTTGAACGTACTTCAGGGACTTAAAATAGGTGAGTGTTTGCAGTCTTGCAAGTTGTTTCTGCATGCCGTACCAGACCTCAAAGTCGATCAGCGACGCAATTTTGCCCACAGGCAGCCGGTAGGGGTCGATATGGTGCACTGCACCTGCAACCCGCGACAATATGACCGTCTCAGGCATTCCGGCACCAACAACAAAATATCTGTGGGTCAAAATCCCGTACCCCCAGTGAACATCCCAATCCCCACTAAAATAGGAAGCCTAAAATGGGTGCTGAATTCACCTACCAAAATGGGATCCCATTGGTGTTGACCCCAAGCAGAAAGCTGGGCGCGGCACAGCCCGGCACCAGTGACTGGCTGCCCGCTTGAAAGGCTTGGTCCTCCTTGGAGTCCGCTGGCTTGCCTCACGGCCGCTCGCGGCGCGCGGCGGGGGAAGCGAACCATCGACACGGCTCCGGGGCAGCGGCTGGAGCTGTAGGAGAAGTGTAGCCTCACTTCGCCCAGTTGACGGCATGGACGTCCAATGAAGCGCCGGGATTCGATTCGTGCCGCCAAAGTCGCAAGTAGGACGGGGAGGGCACGTCCAGCATGGCATTGCCAAAGAAGGCCCTGAGAAAGCCTCTGGCCTTGGAGCGTGGGCCAAATAGAGAATGGACTTTGCGCACAAATGGACGAGGCCGATATCCTAAACCCTTTCGGGTTGTAGGACTTTGCTTGGGGGCGCCCGTTGAATTCCCGATATCCTCATTTAGGATCAAGCTGACAATTTGAGTAAGTGCTTCTCAATATGGTGGACAACCGCTCGGTTGCAGGGAAACCAAAGGGAAGCCAAGAGGTCAATTCCCACTTTGAGAACCCCCCCCCCAAGTACGACAGTAGATTATATCCTATGTGGCGAACACCTGTGGCCTTGAAATAATCAGAAAAACACGCAACTTAATTAGAATATGTGTTGCCCCCCCGAAAATAACAATAGAAAAAGGAAAAAACAAAACTGCGGATCTCTCAGGCTGCCGGCCAGGGAGGTCTTCCCGGAGCCCAGCTCCCCGCGCAGGAAGAAGACGTCCCCTGCCGTCACAGGAATTCGAAGCTCAGAGTAGCTTCAACTCCCCCAGCCAATCCAAACCGCCCAAGGAACTTACCGGATTTTTTGTTCTTAATATATATATATATATATATATATATTTGTGCGGAGATGTGTCAAAGATTCCATGCAACCATGGTGTGTTTTGTTCCTTTTGGCTTCGGGTTTTTCCTCCTGATTCTTTTTGCAAGAATCGTGACATTCCGCGCCGGCCTCGCCGCGCTTCGTGCGCCAGTGCCGCGCCCAAAGATTCTGTGGCCTCGACATCTGGCCTGAAAAGCAACGTGGCAGGGATGAAGCAAAGGAAGCAAATGAAGCAAATGAAGGCTAGGCGTCGGCCGGAGCAAGCAGCTTGCTATTTTCTTCTAACTCGCACGCGGCCCGGGCACTTGGTTTGTTCCTCTGGGGAGAATCCGCACTCGAGCTTATATGGACACTGACGCGCCGGGCGGCAAGGTGAAACGTTCTCAAGCTATCCATAACCGTTGCAAATGCGCGTGGAGCAAATGCAAACCTCGGCCAATGAGTGCGATGAGAGGCGCAAACGCAAAGAAACTGCTGACAGCACAAGGCCACGACGAGGCGTGGCCCCTAGCGCCGTTTGCTCCGCGATCGCTTCCGAGAGGTGTTCCGACGACCCCTGGTAGCACCCTGAGCCGACATCGCATGAAGGAAACCCATCAGTCTAGGCTTCCACTACCCCCCAAACCACTAAGCATGTTCGATTGAACCCTTGAGTGCTTTGGGGCTGGCGGAAACCATCTTGGAACCAGAACAGTTTTCAATGAGCTTTGCCAAGCTGTTCCGAGCCCCGCCTTCTTCGAGCCTTTCAGGATCATCCTCAGTCGAGTCTTCTCCAAGCCCCGGGTCGGGGGGCCCCAAGAACTCACTTGCCCAAAAGACCTGAAAATAAAAGGTTAACCTTTTGGGGCCTTTACTAAAAATGGACCAATAATGGGAAAACCAAAAGGTCAAAAGGTCGGCTTTGGGCAAGTGAGAGAATCATCCCTGCGTCCGTCGGCCAAGCCACTGTCTTTGATACTCCGTACTCAGCTCTGCTGTCATGACGCCGCCACTATGCGGAATATTGAACACATCCTGGCCCAAACGGATTGCTGGGCGTGCCGGTGATCGACAACTCATCACAAAATGCTGAAGGGCACGGGTGAACATGTACGCATTGGTCTTTGACCCCTGCAGAAACATGGCCAGAGCGCCACGCAAGCTCGCGCCGCTTCATGCGTCGCAGCCACAATGATCGCGTACCTGCGCTGGAGGCCGCACTTGTAAAGCCTGCGAACGGGCACAGGCCTGCCGTGGGATGGATGATTGCCGATCCTCAGAGGGAAGTTGAATCGCCGATTTCAGAGTGCCGACACCGCGCATTCTTCTGGCCAGGCTTCGTCGCTTTCTCAATGTCCTGCCCCATCTTTTTGATGTCATCCTCATCCTCGATGTCCTGCCACGAAGCCATTTTTCTCGGGCACCGTGCTCCGAGTCAAGGCCAAAGGTATGGAAGGCATGCGGGGGAATGCGAGAGGGAGTCCTCCGGCAGGTTCTTGACAAAAACCAGGAGAGTCTTGCTCCTCTCCAAGAAGTTCTCAAACTCTTGTGAGGAGATGACCTTGGCCTGCGCGAGCCGCGAGCACACACACACACACACACACTCGCCCCAGCAAGCTGATGAAAGCCCTGCTGTCCAGCGCGCCCAGGAAAGAAGAATTCTCAGAAACCCATCCGTCATTACCTTCATTCTCCTGTTCATCAGCCATTAAAAACCAAGAGATAGGAATAGGATTAGGAAAGGAATAAACCTAAGATGAAGATAGGCTTAACAAATGAAAATAATATGATAAGATCCCAAATAATCCAAATGACATCATTTATCTCTGCATCGTGGAAGCTTCTATCGGTCGGAGTCCTGCCTTCATCTTCGGGATGCCCACCTTCCACTTGTCGATGGCCACAATCATCTTCTCCGCCTGCGCGTGCAGGGTATGCCAAACTACGCACAGGCACAGGACACTTGATTCAAATGCTGACACTGACTAGGACTGGCCTGACCCCCCTGACTGAACAATCAAGATCAAGCCCCGCATGGTGCGCCAATGTCCCTATCAAGGCTAAGCGTCCGCACCAAACCCTACACAACAAGCGTCAGCTCCAGAATTCACAACCTGCCTCCTGCTGGGCCTTCATTTCCAAAACCGCGCACTGCATCTCCTTGGCAACATTGGCAACAACATCGCCCATTGCATGGATTGCCAGAACCCGCTGTGCAAAACATATGAGGCACAGTCAAAATTACTTACTTGCGGCCGTTTCGCTACTTAGTTTGAGAGCCCGCTGTCATTTTCCAGCATTTCCATCCTTTTCCAGCGGTATAGTTTTTTTGGGAGTCCCCTATCATTTGCCATGGTTTGGTGCATTTTCAGAGTATCAATGAAACACCGAATACCAAACTCAAAATTTTGACGGCACTTCATATGGTGTCTCTGGATTCCTCTTGAGCACGGTGCTGACAGCTCTGCCACTCATCAGTTCGTACTGTGGATGGACAAAAACCTACACCAGTTAGGATGGATGAAATCCGACTAATACCTCCAGGCGAGTGTCCACCACCGTCACCATCTGCACACCTATCGGGGCCATTTCAGACGACGGACCACCAGCCTTCTTCTGGAACCTTGGCAGGGAGCGCAATCTGTCAGGGCTCGCTGCCTTTCCCTCACCTATGTTTCATGTTTCCACCCCTAGTCTCAACATTTGCACTGGCACACAACTAAGAACCTGTTCTGAGATCCGCCAACTGAGAAAGACAGGGGCCATTCCCTCAGTAGGCAGGAGCACGCTTGCGACCGTTCGAGGGTCGCAGCGAAGTGGAGAAGGAAATAGCTGCGATAAGACCATGAAGCAGGCAGAAAAGGGCTGTTGGTGTTGGCGTATCACATCCAAAAGCCCTCCCTTTCTTTGCTTACAACAAGTTTGTGGCGCCCGTAAACGAACCACGCTGTTGCATCCGAAGCATGGAGCGGCGCAAGGGCACTCCAAAACCCACGCGCTGGGCAGTTGTATCTTGGCATCCTGCTTCGAGAACGTGTACAAAGTGGCAAGCTGGCGACTTGCACGGCATTTTGCAGACACACACACACACACACACCGACACACACACACACACACAACACACACACACACACACACACACACACACACACACACACACACACACACACACACACACACACACACACACACACACACACACACACACACACACACACACACACACACACACACACACACACAACACACAGACACACAGACACACAGACACACAGACACACAGACACACAGACACACAGACACACAGACACACAGACACACAGACACACAGACACACAGACACACAGCCACACAGACACACAGACACACAGACACACAGACACACAGACACACAGACACACAGACACACAGACACACAGACACAAACACAAACACAAACACAAGCACAAGCACAAGCACAAACACACAGAGACACACACAGAATGCCCCCCCTTAATCGATGGCTGTTTTTTTGGTTTCCCTTCAAAATTACCCCGGCACGAGACCCCAAACAGTGATAGGCGGTGGTCACACGCTGCAGAGTATTGTGCGGGCTGCGCCGCAAAACGGCGGTTGTTGTCAGGAAGCTGCAACATCATTTTGCGGCATTTGCGCGCACATTCACAAAGACAAGGACACGGCCTGGAACAGACACGCGCAAGAGAATGCAGCAGACACGTGTCGAAGCCAGCGCCATAGTCGTGTGTGTGTGTTTGTTTGTGTGTTTGTTTGTGTGTGT